TTAGTTCATCAGCAATGTACATTTTCTCTAGTATTTTTTTGCTGAGATAAAACCTTGCTGCATTAAAACTGCTACAGTGCCAAGAGATGGATGTCGAACTCCTCAGGTGTCAGATTTGAATCCAGAGAGAGGCAAATCTTTTCTTTTAGCTGCTGATTTGCTTTCGCAAGAAATTTACCCAACCGAGAGGCGGGCAGCAGGGGAAACAACCGGGAGTTCGTATAACAGGGACAGCATCGTGTTGTGCGCGCTCTGCTGTAGTGATACTAGGTTGAGCAGCAGATGTATGCTGTGTCGTCTGATGTGATCTTTTCTTAGTACCGCAATTAATCTTGATCCACATGATAGGCGACCATATAGTATAATAATCATCACAGAGTGTAAAACAAAAAAGATGCAAACCTACTGATTCACTTTCAAATAGCCTGGAATTCAGAAAACAGTTCTGAACCCACGGATACACGCCGACTGTCGAATGTAACATTTCAAGTAAACGCCTTGTTTTATGGTCCAGCGTGAAGGTTCCAGCTCTGATCTTCCCTGAGGCCTCAGTGAAACGCCTTTAATCATTATGCGTTATTTACTTATCACTGCATCAACTGTAACAGCCCAGTCTCCCTTATACAGAATTTGCCTTAACAACTAGCATTGTGTTTCTGAATGCTTGTAGGTATGTGTGAACCATGATACGACCGACCGAAATGAAATTTACTCGAACGGTTGTGAGTGTGACGAGACTGAAAAAGTTTAAGTGCTCGGAAATCGAAAGTGGCATCTTCATTCTTGAACTATCCGTTTTTCATATCCAGAGACCATAGTTCCGATGGCTTCGATGGTTTCGATGAGCACAGTTGCGGTCAGGATGCTGAGGCAGAGACTGGCTTGACGGACCTATCCCTTAGCAAAACTACACGATAGACAGTCAAGTGGAAAATGAGGGTGGTATAACGCAGACGTATCGCACTGTCTTACTTTACAACTTACTTTACAAGTTTACACTCTCTTACTCCAGCCTGGGAAGCTTACCTGATTGCGAAGGTCCTGTGCTCGTAGGGGGAACTGTATATGTTTTTGCGGTCGCAACTTTAGGGAACAGCAGAATTTGAGAGAAGACGAACGATTGAAACATGCTTCGTAATAACATTGATGAGAGTCTTACATTTCATAGGCAGTTGGAGCAAAATGAATGGCAACACTGTTTGCCACAGCCTCAGCAATTGAACTCTTACTTTTAGGCAGGATTTTTGTCTTAATTCTAATATTCTGGCGCACAATCCTCATCAACTTCATCAGATGGGTACTCAACGAAGTCAGCACCGGTCATTCTTCGTACTAAAATTTCGAAACTTTATCCTCCTATTCGACAGAAGTGGTCTCCACACAAATGCAACCGTGGAATGTTCCTTCAGTTATTGCTCGTTTTGCTGTTTTATAACATCGCTTATTTCAGGGGACCCGTGCACGATATCTTCGCAGCAAGAGCTTGACGAGTCGTTTCGTCTATACGACATCAATAAGGATTCTGAAATTTTTATCCACGGTAAACAAGTTGATTACCTTTGATTTAGTACCATTGTATGCTAATTCATCTTCTTTCTGTGATCTGAGTTGTAACTTCAGTTTTCCCGAACGTTCCTTTACAACCAGGACTCCCTTGTCAAGGCGAAGATAGTAAGCTCGCGTACGCTCTGACCTTCTGTTTCTTAAGCCCTGTTTAGAACATGTGTATCGTCGAGGCGCGCGAAGGTGGAAGAAATTCTATCGCGTGAATGGACACCTATTTGCTGCCAAGAGGTTCAACAAGGTAATTTTTGTGACGAGGTTTTGTCCGTTTCGCTTAGTACTTCCTCTAGAATATCGATGTTTGGTTGCGTTTTTTATGCTCACAGTCATTTTACTTACTGTTTCACATGTTGTTTTTTGAATCGATAGAAACACCTTGCGCGATATCAAAATGGCATCGCTTAATTCACCGTAAATCTTGTGGATTCTGTACCCTGTAAGCTGAAAATCGTACAACAAAACGGTTTATTACGTGTATTTATTGTACTATGCTGATTTACACTATGTACACGACAGTCCCAGATATTTACCTTAGTTTATAAGCCCCTCCTCCTCATCGAGAAATGAAGATTGCTATTGTTTGAACATGTGACCAGGAGGCCAGAATAGTGACTCACAGCATGGACTCTTCGCAACGGCACGGAAAAACAGAACGGAAGAAGCAGGCCGCAAGGAGTCAGCTTAGAGCAGATGGCTCAAGTCTATTATCAATACTTAGTATTATTCCTAAGGTTTGCTCAGTTGCCGGAAAATCTGGATTTTTTTGCCTCCTGAAGCAATTGTTCTCGTAACTGGAAACGGACAACGGTTTATGAAAATAAATCAGAGAACCATCAACGGAATCAGTCAAGATAATAAATTGCTGCTGGCACTTCGGTTGCTGTGTTTCATGAATCTTCTCTAGTCTGTAAATGATACCTTATACTTACGGTTGTTGATGGCAGTTGATGTTCAAATCCAAAATCTCCTGACATGTTCTAGCGTTGTGCTGCTTTAGTTTAAATTGAACATCCTGTTTCACAGTACGGATTATTGATTCGTAGTATTTTCATTATGAATTGCCAGCGCCTGAAAATAGTGTTTGGTATTTGATAAATGTAGGTCATTTTGAATGTAACAATGCAACGGATTTTATTGCAGTAGGTTGAAGCCCAAGCTTCTTTGCCTTGAGTTTTTGAACATGAAACGATAAGTATTCAGATTCTCGGTAAATAAAATAGATAGCAAAAATGCCAAAAAATAATTTATGCTGTCCTTGGTCTTCATGTCAGAGCGATTTTCTGAATTTGATCGTTATTAAATAATTCAAAATGTACTACAGACAGGTAATTGTTACGTTAGCATTTAATGTGTTTTTAGAAAGCCGTATGCGCGATATGCCAGGACAAAGTCTGGGGACTCGGTCGACAAGGCTTTCGTTGCTTATCATGCAAATTGGCAATTCACAAGAAATGCCACAAACTCGTGAAAGAAGAATGTCCCGGCTATCCGATTGCCGTACATGATTTTTCTGTGCAGGTTGTGCATGTAATCAGCTGCTGTTTTAGACAAGCAGCGTCACGTTTTCCGGATCTCACTTTTACAGCGACAGTGTTCCTGGTCACTTGTCTTCCTTGATCAACGGAAATTTAACTCT